AGTGAAACGGAGAGTTTCATGGAGGTAGGCCTAGGCCCAAATTGGGGCTGTAGCGCCACAGGAAAAAATACTACGTAATTCACTGAATACTAGAAGCAGGAAAAGAGAAGATGCTGAGTTACTGCACTGCATGTAAGCTTCAGCAGTTCACAGAGAATAGCCTGCAGTCTCAGTGGACCAGAGATATGCGTATATTCTGTACATATCACATATCAACATTTTAAAATCCAGGCAGGGCTCCTTTGTAGACAGTTTTAACTGTTGTGTCTACACAACAAACTGAAAATACGGAAGAATATACAGAGAGGCAAATGTTAATAGTGTATGAATGCGCTGGATAAGCAAAGTGTCTGTCAAGGTTTATAAACTTTAAAACTACGAACATATGTTAACCCTTTCCGTGAACGAATTTAATAGCAATGTATTATAACTGTAAGCATTGTAAAATAAAATTAAAACTGTAAATATATTTAGAATTTTACAGAGTTGGTTCTCAAACTAAAAATTATTTCATTCTGACTCAGAAATTTCTCATATTTACTAATTTATTTATGCATTTCGGGCCCACTACTGTTACCGTGTAACATTCTGTTTCTTATTGGTCCAATGGTGAGTAATGTGTAGCTATCGGGGTTAACGAAGCCTTTATTCCTTTTATGATTATGATTAAATACTTTAATCTCTGCGCCTATTAATTTTGGAAGTACGGCTGCTATAGAAAAATGATATGTTACTTTCGCTTTCAGGTGCTTTATTTTGGGAAAATTCGAATATTTATGATACAAAATTCTACATTTCATTGCATATGCATCTAATTGCTGAAATGATTCATATGTTTTTACTCGGATGTAGAAAACCATTATATGGCACATGTAAAATCGCCTGTTGTAAATCCATGATAACAGTATTGAGTGATGTATTTGAGGTTCTCTCAGCGGTGGCTATTAAGAGCTCTCTCTTACGGAATATAACGCCATATGGTCCGGTGAAAGTCAGTTGACGTTTCGAAGGAACATATCGTATCCATTTTCAGGGTCGAATAGTGAGGCAACCTGAACCAACAAGACTTTCCTTCGAGGCCGATTGTAAGGATCATTGTGGCCTCTACCTACTGCTCGTTCAAATGCCAGGTGGGCCTCTCTTGCTGGTAACTCTGCGCCTTCTTCCTGCTTTATTCTGCTTTCTTGCTTGGCTTACTCTTCGACCCTGAAGATGGAGGCGGTAAGTTGTTCCGAAACGTCGCTTTACTCACCGGACTAAACAGTGGTATATCACAGAATTTAGAACTCTTAATATTTATCATGATAATTGCTAAACAATCTAAGATAAGTTTATCTTCACATCAACTTTTGGATGTCTTTAATATCTTTAAGTACCACAGCCAACTTCTTTATTACTGATTTATAAAAATTGATAATCTGTTTACATCTCCAAAGATGACGTAATAAAGATGAAAGCTTCGATCATCTTGCGCATTTTGACTTGCAGAAGATCGATAATCACTGATGAAGAGGATGATTAAAGATTACCTTCTGACGCATTCAAAGCCAAATATGTGCGAACTACAATAACGAACGGAGCACAATGCTTATTTATATATTCGGAATGTTGAATATTAAAACATTAATTTCCATCACAACATCGCAGGAACTTACGGATTTCGACAGCGTAGAAATGGAAAGAAATGTACTTCAGTTTCAGAATGTATCATTTGATCTCTTCTGAAATGGAAACGTTTAAAAAGCAGTTTCACCACGGAAGGTGTAAAAATATGTCTGGTATCGGTGATTGTGAATTATTGGTTACTTTGTGGAACATGCATTTCGATGTCTGCATTCATTTGATGGTATGATATACTTCCTGAAGTAGGTAAAATTCTATATGAAGAATTTTATTATATTCCACTTAAAGGATCTTTTTTTATTTACATTTTATGTATACCTTTTATGGTAGACATTCATTCATTCATTCATTCATTAGTAATCTGTCAAGACGACAGGTCCACAGTCTCTTCCAAAAAGTTCCTCCGCTTGATGCGATCTAGAGCTTTCTCCTTCAAATGAAAATATCCTCTTCTGCCCCCAAGGTCATCAAGCATCTTCTTACGTCTTCTTCCTCGTCCTCTGGTCATTTCTATCCGCCCATCTATCTTTCCTTCAGTAACTTCTTTCAGAAGGCAGTTACCGCGTAAGATATGACCAATCCAATTAGTCTTCCCTTTTCTTATTTCGGCATATTATTTGCTACGCTAAGATGATAGGCCTGCTCAGTAAGAGAGGCTATAATTATAACAAATTAAAACGCAAGTAGGGTTTTTGCTTTAGCCCATGTTTCTGAGCTAGAGCAAATGGAGAGTGATGCGATTCGATTTCCGTAACGGTTTCAATGGTTCAATTCCAGTCGTTTGAATTGTGCTATAACTTCTTGTTTTTTATATAGCCTGCTTCAGCGTGTACGGAAGTAAAGGGATATTCAGAATGGAACACAGAGCGGTGTTCCTCGTGTAGATTCAGTTTGTTTGATCATTTCGGAGCATATCAGTGGCAGGAAATTTGTTTAATGAGGAAAACTCTGAGAGTTGATTTTCCCAGCTACCGTAGAAAGGAAGGAGTTCTTCTGTAATGGAGGTTACAGTATCGAGTGTTGATAAATCGATACTGTTTGTTGCTACTGCTCGTGCATATTTCTGGAAGAATTACTTGAATAGACATAGTACATTATAGCCTATTTTTCCGTGTATAATGCAACAAATTAATACATTAATAATAATGATTCTCTATTAATACAGAGAACGGAAAGGGATACTTCATACGCACACTCAAGAAAATAGCACACCAATGAAATACAGAAACAGCCGCATTTAGAAAAGACATGAAGAAGACATCAACGACGTAACTGAAAGAATGATATTTCATTATTGCGCAGTGCATTAGACTCCTTATAATAGTGTTAGATGGCCTTATATTGCCGAAACATATAGCATTGTGATAATGCATATATATTCTAATATTTTAATAATTTTTATAATATATCATACATTTAACAAGTAGCTGGGATAGCATAATCGGTATAGCGACTGGCTACGGGCTGAACCACCAAGGAGTCGATGTTCGAGTCCCGGTAGGGTCAAGAATTTCCTCTTCTCCACGTCATCCAGACCGGCTCTGGGGTCTACCAAACCTTCTATCCAATGGGTACGGGGGGTTCCTTTTCCGGGGGCTCCTTTTTCGGGGATGAAGCGGCCGGGGTATGAAAATGACCACTCATCTCCAACTAGTGCCGAAGTCAAGAAAATGTGGATCTATACGTCCACTCCCTCATACACCTTCATGGCGTATTGTTTAATTAGTTAAGCGCAAGGACAACTCTACCTTTTTGTACATTTAACGATCATTATATGGATTAAATGTGAATCAGCATTATTAATTTTGTTTATTTTTTGCATTATAGACAGGAAAAATAGACTATAAGTGATATCTTAATGCAACGAGATTCTCAAATATAATATTAGGCTTAGTTCAATTAATTAACGGAGAAGCGTAAGTGGAACAATTTGTTCTTGGTGCTCTGTGCCTGTTTATGTATGTGGTGCTTACAGTATACCAAACGAATGGTCACAAAGCTTCATGGGAAACTGTCTTAGAAAACTGTATGGATGATAGGCTTAATCCCACCCTACGTCACACACTATATCAACCCAACGGAGACGGCGCAGTAGCTCTGGAGTGGACTGCCTGCATTGAAGTCCCAGAATGGGTAATGTGATTTCCCTTCCAGCCTTGCGGCCCACCCAGCCTGCTATTGAATGGATGTCGGAGACCGTTTCCCCCGTCGTTACAAGACCGCAGAATGAAGCTAACCACTCACCAGCTTTTAGTGTGAGTGTTGAGAATGTATGGAGTTCTGTCCTCTCTCCGCTTATGTCTTCATGGAATGGTCCCTGAGTACATGCACACAAAGTTTCGTCTGTGTACATCATTCCCTCTCTTACGTAACATCGGGTTTTGTTTTTCAGATTTATTCTACGTATGATCTTGTCGAAATGTATCACTGTGTCACAAGCCGGAAGGTGGTGGGTTCGATTCCCGATAAGGTAATTTTTTTTTTAATTTACCTAATCCTTCCAACCACACTATGACCCTGGGATCGGCTCAGTCTCTAAGAGAAACGAGTACCAAGAATCTTCCTGGGTATAAATGGCGACCGGCGCGTAAGTCTGACAACCTCACCCCCATCTGTGAACCGATTGTCTAGAAAATGTGGGAACCTTGACGTCTCACAAACCTATGGACCTCCACGGTCCGTTACAGTGATAGCTTTAACTTTTTTTATGTAAGTACGAGGAACACCGTGAATATTTCTTACTCCGTGTACTTCCTGTTTGGAGTAATGAATTACATGCATAAATGATTGCATTTTAATTTGAAAACCTTGCACATTTGGCGGTGCGCCTTATGATCGTGGGCGTCTTGTATTCAGGCAAGCATGAAAGGGTTCAGACCTCCCATAAACCGCTGATTATTTAGCAAACATTAGGAATGTAGTTAAATTAGATGGCAAGCAGATTCAATAAACCCTATCGAAGATCATGCATGACCCTGGGAGGTGGAATGACCCACTTGAATGGTTGTTACTTTGATTCGCCACTTGGCGTACGACTTCTGTAAATGGACGCATGAGAAGAAATTGAAATAACCCCTGACCTCTAAATATAATTTTAAGCGTTTTTATTTTTGAATTGTATCATTACCCTCATCATCATCAAGGTGATCGGTCGGTCGGGCAAATTTCTACTGGTCCTTACCAGCGTAGGACGTCAGAAGTGGCATGTATACTCACCAACTAGACCTGTAGTTTTGTCTGAGTAGAATATTGCTCCCATAATCCCAACAGTAGAGTATCTTTACTAAATACGGTGACCAATATCCTGGTCTCAGAGTGTGTAGCTACGATACTGCAAGTATATGAAATTCTAACACAAAATTTCCTCTATTTTGCAGTTCCTCCACACCAGTTGCTCATCTATGAAAATTCGGGACGTGATGTGAGCACGCCCGTTGTTGGCCCACTTACTGAGGGCAGCGACCTCGTCCTGACGTGTGAGGTGAGAGGAGGTAAGCCATATGTCCTCATTGATGCATGTGCATGTCCATTCACTCTATACGTAAACATATCATATGAAAATGAATTATTTCACCCGGTGTCCCAAAAATAATTCCTGGAGTTGTTAACGTATTTTGAAGCAAACATTAAAAAGGCTTTTATATTGTTGCATGTACACCCATTGCTAGGCAACGTGTTGGTAAAGAAGTTCCCGCGAAAACAGATTTTGGTAAACAGTCCATTGCTAGGTTACGTAACACTAGATGAGGCTGTGTTTTCTATGCGTTCTGCGCCAAGCAGCAGTAAAATAATGGGGTTATGCAATCCGTTTCTGAGCAACGGCTGGGTAAACACATTTCCACGTATCGGACCGTGTTGTGAAAACGGTGACGTCATAAACTAGAAACTGTGCTTTCTATGGGGATCTGTGCAGAATCCTTATATGAGAAGGCAGTGAAAGAATTAGTTCAAGGGCAGTTACGAGTCAGTCGTAAGCTGGAGGGCTGACTCTAGAAGAATTTTACGTTCCGAGGTTCTAGAGTGATTGAAGACGAAATAGCAAGAAAACTTCATAGTGGTTTGAAGTGCTAGTTTCTATGTTAAGATCCGTTGCTAGGAGACTACTAATGGAAATTGAGAATCCTAATGCGTGTGCAACGATGATTGGAAAGTGTGTAAATTGGCGATAGCGCTGTATTTAAGTGTGATTAAGAGAACTTGTAATCAAAGTGATAATAAATCCAATCATCCGAACTAGAACCAGTCATTTCGTCACGCGTACCCCCCTACACATGACAATATATAATAAAGTAAAATACTTATGTGGAATAAGGAAAATGGGTTTATTTAACTTTCTCACGGTTTTGACTGAAGAGTGTTACAAGTACCTTCTGGTATGCGAAACAGTGTAGTTTGTTCTAAAGATTCTTTTATCGAGACGAATAAGGAAACTTTCCAGTAAAACATCACTGTAGTATTTCGAACCTCCAGTTTTTCAGTAAATATATCTGTACCAAATTATTACTTTAGTATTAGTATATCTATAGCACAAGGAATTTTAGTAAATTTCTGTCTATAAAATCATAAGAATATTTTTAGACAATTTTGAAAAGATACAATCGATTATCGAACTCCGTAATGAGCAAGATTATTTAATTTCTTCAAATTAATCGCCAATTATTAATGACGGAAATAAATGTTAATTTTCTGGGCGTGTCTCGTTCATAAAATTATTGGCAACTATTGACATATGCTTCTGATTTTAACGCAACTAAATACAAATTTCTGAAGACACATGAGACTATGGTGTGTGTATTTTTACGATATAAGCTGTTACATAATATATGAGATTAAATTCGGAGGAATAAATATATAAATATGTTAATAAACACGAGGCTTCTTACCTTGCAGTTCCATGTGTATGCGTATGCATACAGCATACTGCATACAGCTCCGCTGTCACAATGCATAGCAAATATATCTTAATAGAACCGCTTTATTAGTGTCTTTGGATGGGGTGAAACTGAGTCCGCTTGGTGCGTCGGCCACTAACTAGCCTTTTGTACAGTCACGGACGATGATTATGGTGAATATGTAGCATTAATTGGAATGAGGATTGGCAGGTGAAACCGAAGTACTCCGAGAAAACCTACCCCAATGACACTTTGTCCACCACAAAACCCACATGATTATGACCTGGTCTCGAACCCGGGCCGCCGGGGTGGGAAGCCTGCGACTGACCACCTGAGCTGTTGCACGGCCTCTAATAAAACGTTTACCGAATCAAATATAATTTTAAGTGGTTGTGGTGCAGGTTTCAATTGATTCGACTCTTGATAATTCCCCGAAACTTCCCACATGCACAGTATACACGAAACAGTCCCCACGGCTCCAACCTATTCAAATACGAATGTTCTTTTTCACTTTTCTGACCGTCACTATACAGAAACTGTAACATTGCCCTCATATGTGTTTCGCTGTATCGGTAAGTCCCGCACTGTACGCGGATGTTTCTGCCACTAATTAACCGGAGTGCAAACCAGTGTTGAGCCGACTGCTGCACGGTTGGTAATCCTGGTGGTTCTGCAATCCAGCGTACATCAAGTCCGTGGATTACATCGTTCATTGTATAATGAATTCCTGAATCCTCCGACCCGAACTCTCCCGTTATTCAATTCAGGATTATTTAATGCACTTTTAACTTACCCTTGGCATGCATCGACCGCCTCTGGTCAGAGTTCCTGGCTACAGATCCAGAGGTCCGGGTTCGATTCCCGGCGCTACCAGATGTTCTGAGAAGTAGTGGGTCTGGAACGGGGTCCACTCAGCCTCTTGAAGATAATTGAGGAGCTATTTCAAGGAAATAGCTGTTCCGGTCTAGAAAACCGAAATTAACGGCTGTGGGGATTTGTTGCGTTGACCACGCGACACTCTCTATCCGCAAAAATTAGCACTAACTTCGCCGACAAGCGGCGGTCGCTCGGTCGGTATAGTTCGCTTGTGGACTGAAATCACGGAGTTTGCTTTTGTTTTTAAATGTTTGCATTATTACATTTTATTTAGAAAAATATATATATGAATAAATTAGACTTACAAAAGACTTCAGTCTTCTGTGATATAACGCCGTAAAGCCCGTTGAAAGTCAACCGACGTTTCGGAGGAATATATTTTGAAGAACAAGAAAAGCAAGGAAACAGCATGAAGAAGGTAACAAGGACTACACAGCATTATATCCCAGAAGACACAACCCTTTATAACCAGCGATGTGAGAATCTCAAATCTCAGGCCTACATGGTTTCAGGCTGTTAACGTAGAAGATGAATAGTGAGTCTCTATGGATCGGAGAACACTCAGCTTCACAGTCATTACCGCGTGAATACATCGGGGTCAGTTACTGAGACTGAATTGTTCAAATGTTCATAAATTTAAAGCATGCGAAATATGGGAGAAGGAAACAAAATTTGCCCTCTTTATCGATGTACGGTTTGTGACGTGAAAACTAATGTTTATATAATCAGAGATGAATTCATGTTCGCGATAACTGTGTCTTGTGAAAGGTAAAATTGTCCCTGTACTTAATTAAGTAAGCGCCACCCCATGAAGACGTGGGGCAACATTCTTAACGTCAGCACTAGACAAAGGCAAGTGGTGAGCTTCAAGCCCCTGCCGCTTTGTCGCCATGGAAAGATCTCTCCGGTACCCATTGGATAGTAGACTGGGTGGTCCCCAGAGCCGGTCTAGATGCTATGGAGAAGAGAGAAAATCCCCCCCCCCGCCTGGATTCAAACCAGGGCCGTCCAACCCATAGGACGTTGTCTTACCGACTGAACTGTCCCAGCTTCAACTGTGTCTGATCTCTTAAACATATCCACTAAAACACAGTGTTATTATATTGCACATTCAAATAAGGTTTTGGCATGTATTCCTTTTGATACTCCTTCGTACTCTTCACAGTCACTCCCTTAGGAACCTCACACCTCACACAGGTTTTAAGTAGCTAACAGAAGAATGTAAGTAATATTCCTAGACAGAAGTGTCCATGACAGAATCTCCTCCTCATGAGTATTATAACAACGAAAAGCAACAAGTTTAATGGCAACCTTAACGTATATTCATTTTTGTAATGATGTTCTGCCACAACATCGAATGCTGACATGCCACTTTAACAGCCGGCATTGATAACGGCGCCTTTATTCCGAACTTTAAATAGATGCATTCAATTACAAAGGAAATGTTTTGATTGATTACAGTGTATTCAAGTTAGTAGTCGCCTACCTTTGTTATAATATTAATTGTAGAATTGAAAATCAGATTTCAAATGGATATTTTACGTTTGTATTCGTAAGGAAAGCAAAGAAACCATTCATATAACAGGCGTGGAGATTCATAGGGTTGTAAGACGTTGAGACTCCCATTTTTTCTAGACAGTCGGCTCACAGATGGCGGTGAGGTTTTCAGCCCTACAATCCGGCCAGCCTTTACGCCCAGATAGTTTCCTGGCACTCAAATCTGCTAGAGGCTGTGTCGACCCCATGGCTGGAAGGATTAGGTCAAACGAAAACCCCAATGATGTCATCGGGAATCGAACCCACGACTTCTGGCTTGTAGCATAGTGCCTCAACCAACTACGCTACAGCGTGCCCCTATGTTTGTGTTCGTAACTAATATTATTATGTATTTTACTCGCTAATCGTCATCATCAATTTCCAGTTTCATCTAAATCTGTGTCAGAAAGTTGGTCCACTGTTAACGACAAACGATAATTCCTCGTAGTTTTCTTAACTAGGTAGCAACTGTAGATGCAGGCCTGTCGTGCACAACGTTATTACGTTACGGATAGAAAACAGAGATTTGTTGATTCAAGATTACGAAATTTATACATTCACACTTCTCGATATATCCAAAGGAAGCTGCAATTGTTTGACTACTTCGCTCTTTTCGTAGCCAACATCAGTTTCCTCCGTTGAAACTTCCTTTATAAGATGGCGATCGAAGTTAACAGCTACTTAATTAATTAATTAATTAATTAATCAATCAATGTTTTACAATTTAATATTTATTTCCTGCTACATGTTTCGGTCTCACGGGACCATCATCAGGCAGTGATATTAGAATACGTCTAGGGTTATTGAAATCCTAATATGGATCCATATTGCTGCAACGTGTCATACCCTATGATACAGGATTTGTGCCTCGAGTTAAATATAAGTATTGAAATTAAATATATAAAAATAGCAAGGATATATTAAAATGTATTATGTATTATAGGTCTTAATGTATTAAAATTATTAAAAATTATGTGTGCCAAGTTTCAAATATAGTGTCAAATGTAGTGTTAAGCTACATTATTATATAGTTCATGGATCTATGTTGTTAAACGTCCACATTTGAACATAAGAACCACGAACTCTCTCTTCACCCAAGTTATTACCTACAGATTACATAGGATCGGAATCACTGTCACCAGAAGCAATGCAACAATAGTCAGAATGACCATCATCAAAACGGCGAA